TACCTGAAGTTATCAAAATATTTTAAAATATTGTGTAACTGTAATTGTCAGGACTTACATACTACTTATATGTATATCTTACTGATTAAATTTATGAAACTTGCTTTGGCACTTCAGACATATTAATGACATTTCCTGAAGAGAGAATGTCTTTAAAACCAACTTTTTTGTTATTGAACCCTATTAATGTGGAAAGTACAGAGTAAAGTCTGCTTGTGCGATACTATATGTTGCGTGTTATTTATTGGCTTTATGTAAATTTATATGCTGGGGTCATATGCCACAAGTAGGACAAGGGATAAATTATAAATATTTATAGTCTGTATAAATGAAAGCCACTGGTTTTATTATCAAACTTTAATTCTGTAAGTTCTCTGTTGTTCTCATATGATAATGGGAATGGGACAAGAACATTACATTCCACACTTGATGCTATAAAACATGGAAGAAAACTTATGGTATAAAATGTCTGGGGCAGACTTGTATCTTTAAGTTATGAACATATGTATATAATTGTTTTGTTACGTGTGCATCCATTTTGCATAAAAAATGATTTGTCCATTGTTTGTAAACATCAATATATGTGGTTTTCATTAAAATGCAGAAAGTGAAATGTGATTGGGTTACACAGTAGGCCTAAAATTTGTGTTTAGTATTACAATTGAGATTACCTTTTCCTTACTACTATGTAGATGCTTACATTTCTACTTTGTATATACTATTATTTACTTGCATTTAGTGTATAAAGCCTTTGTCATGATCCATAATTGGCATTGGTACTACTGCATTGCCAACTTAATGAAAAATACACCATTCAGAAGTTTATCCTGCTGCAGATTCTCCATGAAGTAGCCAGTTGGTAGCAACAACTGACATTTGATTTTAAGAATTTAAATTAATCATCTAACAGTAGACACAGAATATGTATTTTATATGAATATAGTGCTGCCATTATGCTCAAGGCTTGCACTCCAAAATTTGTTACACTAAAAGTTAAGTTAAAGTTGGACTTGTTATGTTTTACATCATTTTATAGATATTCATTATGCATTTCTACCGGAAACATATGTTTTCCATATTCATTTTGGAAAGTATACATGTTTGTAAAGTAATTGATGTCCAATGCATTAATCTCTGATTTTGTTGGCCAAGGATTTTACAATGAAAATTCTTTGGTGTATGTTAGGAACACAGAAACTATCAGTGATAACTGTTGTGATTTGACAAATCTTGGAAATTGTTAACTGCCAAGCCCTAAAGTAAGTTGTTACAGGAGAATTACCTGAATTAGATGATTATTAAATTAATGCAGCTACTGATTTTCCTAACTGTGTTGTAACATAGACTATTCAGTTCGGTGCTAGTTTGCTGTCCCCTAATAGTCTACAGGGAAATGGGAGTATATACACTTGATCCTCCTGTAACATGATGAGTAATGGAAATTTTTATAACATGAATCTGTTTTGTAAACCCAATTGTAAATAGAGAATAGAACAAAACAATGATTTCTTTAATTTTGCTTAACCTAGCCAGATATTGTAATTCATAAGTAATGTTAACATTTTTGGTAGTAAAATAAAATTGTTATCAAATTCAAGTTGTAATTTGTTACAGGAGGACTTCCACAGTTACTCTTTCTGCTGCTGATGCATGTATACTGCATATCAACATTTACTGTATCTTAAATTTTCTTCCCAGTCTTTTCTTTCAGGTTTGGTTGCATACTCAGGATAGTATGCAGCATTTCTGGCTATGGACTGAGTTGTTATCTACTTAGCAGTATTCGAATAATGGTAAAATTTAAATAAGGCAGGAAGATATATAGTTCAAGCCTTTAGAAATGTATGTTTATGGACTTTATTTTCACTAGTATATAACATTTCTGTGTTTGCATAAGCTGCAAACTTTAGTTACCAGCAGGTATTTTTTTCATGTCAAGCTCAATATAATTATATCACTAGTCTTGAAATGGAAATTAATTTATTATTATCATAACAAATTCTATGTATGGTATTGAGTACAGATGAAATTTTGTGAAAATTGACAATACTTCTCTCGAGAGGGTTAAAGTAAGGTGTTCTAATATAATTGAAAGTACTGCAGACCACACTGCTGTAAAATTCAGCATAGTTAAAGTTTTGTTAAGATTCTTTATGTCACGTGGAAGAGAAGAGTGATAGTTCATTAAAGTATGTTATGTACTGTATTCTAGATGAAGGATGAATGCAGATGTTGGCAAGATATTGTAGTTGGAGAAGTGGTTCTGCGCCCTCGCCCATTGACGGAATTGCAGTTTATCAACTTGTTATTTTTGTGGCATTGTTACCGTACTGGGTCAGAATCATGACTAGCTGAAATGCTTGTTTCAGCTATAGTTTGAACATTGTATATAATGTAAGAAATGAAAGTGATATAAAATTAATACTTGTATTGTACAGACCTTTGAATTGACTGAAAAACCTTATTCATTTTACCAGAATTTAAAGAAATTAATTAGAATATATAATTTTTAACATTCCTTTTCATGAGATTAATATAACTGAATTTTATGCAAATTCATTCATGAGCTAATAATGTTAATGTTCTCTATGTGAACTTCAGGGTAGTTTCCATACAACACCAAGACACTTGTCTTGAATGTGTGTGTTCAAATGTTGACTCATGTAGCCTATCCTGAGAATTTTTTTCATGTCCATGTCACCAAGAAAATTCCAGTGACATATCCCTCATTTTAGGGTAATGATCCATCTGTGCCCCACACTCTTTTGTAAAAATTATGATTGGGTCAGAAAATAACACATTGGATTGAAAGGAAAATGATATGAAAAGATTTGTGCTTTAAAGTTTGCTACAAAAGAAAAATATTGAACTCAGAAATGAGCATACTGAATGACAGATGTAAACACAGGAATGGAAGCTGTCTTCATGCTTATCCCCCAGTTATCACCACCACCATTTTTCCTTGTTATCTTTTCTCACATTCATAATCTTTGAAAAATAGACACTGTAGTAAATTTCTTTATAGCTTTGCTGCTGTGTCTATCTTTCAGACTTAACTCCAGTAATACACAAATCTTTTTCTTCACATATACCTTATACATATATCTTCATATTATACAAGCCTAAAACATTATTTTAACAAAGAATCTGTGGAGTAATTCTGTTTTCCTACTAATATTACTAAATTCTCAGCAGAAGTAACTATTCAATGGGAAATATAATATTTTTTTTAAAAAAAATTATAATTACTTTATAAGAACATGAAGTAGCAAACAGGACAGCCAGTACCCTCATCAGAGAATGCAATTTAAAATAATTGATTTACTTTGTTTCTGTGTAGGATTTGAGGTTTACATAGCAGTGAGGCTGAAGAAGGCTGTCATCTGGGTTGTTGTACCATGTAGTCTGGTAGAAGTTTGCCAACGTTTCAGAGTAAACTTTACCAGACTACATGGTGTAGCAGTCCAGAAGACAGCCATATTCTTACTTTCTTTCTTCCAGTATTTTTATTTTACTTCTTTCTTTCTTTCAGAATGTTCTGCTGCAAAGAATTCAGGGATTTGAACATTTCTACATTGATATATAAAATTTTAATGAACATGAGTGCAATTTAAACTTAATGCGGATTTATATTGTTTTTTTACGTCCGCTTTGGCAGCAAACCCATCCTAAGAATTCCGTGTTGTAGGGATGGGACAAGTTTATATGTGTGGAGGCTGAGTACCTCGAAAATCAGGGCTAATACAAAACGGCTAAGGTGATTTATTTTCACGCTATGACAATAAGGAGGGCTTAATGTTATTACAATTCAGGCCCATTTTACTTAGTAGACCATAGAACATCAGCATACCACTTTGTATTATTATTTAGTTTTATTTGAAACAGTCGACGGAAATGACTAAAACCAAAATATGGAAGTTTGGTTCTTCATCCAAAACATGAGCAGTCTATCGCTTCGTGTGCTTCCTAGTGGTAAAGCTGTAAATGATGCGGTCTTACTGGAATGTTGGTATGTATCTATGGTATAGGTTATGTTGATGGTGTGTGGGTTATGACTAGTTTCTATTTCAGTGATAACAACTATGTTAAGTGATATGTTTAACTAACACGTAATTAATTTTTAGGTAATTATCAAATTATATATTTAGACGCTGTACTATTTTCTCTACAAACAAATGGTATATGGGAGACCAACTTATTCAAATTCTGTATTATTTTGACTGACATATTAAACATGAAAAGATGGCGGAAGACGTTCACTATTGCCCGCTACATGAATGTGTTTTTAGTGGTGATGTAAGAAGATTGTCGGGTTTACTGCGGTTACACGACGTTACAAAGAAAGATAAACATGGTATGTTTCTTACAGCATTTCTGCTTGTTAATAGAAATTGGTGTAATATAACTCAAATGATTCGTCGATTTTATTTGTTACTGTAGGAACTTGATTTGCGTAAATTATACAATTCACCAGATATTAGGACGTTCAGATCAAGGAGGATGATATTGGCCGGGCATGTAGAACGAAATGCTGGTTAACGCGAAATGAATACAAAATTTGGTGGAAAGCCTGAGGAGGAAAACCTAGGCATAGATGGGAAGATAATATTAAAATGGGCCTCAGGGAAATGGGTATGGAGGGTTTGGATTGGATTCATCTAGCTGAGGTTGGGGACTGCTGATGGGCTCTTTTGAACATGGTAATGAACCTTAGGTTTCTTAAAATCTTTAAAGTTCTGGATTTTTTTTTCTTGACTAGCTGTGTGTGCTGTTACTGTTTCAAAAAGGACTCTGCCCCATGGAGTTAGTTATAAACTTGATTTGTATTGTGTTTTAATGATATGTCAGTAATAACTCTGTATTTCATGGTATTTAGTAGTAGTGAAGTAAAAGTAAAGTTTGTCTCGCTATATGCCATGTAGGCGTTTGGGGTGAGTGGAGGTATAGCTCCTCTCTTCCTTGACCTTGGCACTAGATGGGGGTGAGTGGTCAGCATCACCCCCCGGGAAAGGACCCCGGTACCCATTGTAGAGGAGGCTGGGTGGGCCCCAGAGTCGGTCTGGACGCAGAGGCTAGAGGAAAAATCCTCTGCCCCCGTCGGGGATCGAACCCCAGTCGTCCAGCCCGTAGCTAGTCACTATACTGACAGCTGTTCTGGCTCATATTTAGTAGTAGTGTTGCTAAATAGGAATTAGTGTTGAAGTATGCTTGAAGCCTAGCTCTGTTCTAAGGTATCACATTTGTTGCTCTAAGATCCATTCAAAGATTTTCCTTTCATCTATCCCTAAATCTTGTTCATGGTCTCTTCACTTCTGGCTTTTGAACCAAAATTTTGTATGCATTTCTCATCTTCCACATGTACTGAATGCCCATCCTATTCATCCTCTATCATGTGATTGTAATAACATTCAATGAAGAGCTATGAAGTTCTATTTACATTATATAGTTTTATGTAGCCTTCATTTCTTCCCTTCTGGGTCCAAGTATTCTCAGCACCTTGAATCTGTGTTCTTCCCTTAACTCTTTGAAGCATCTGATCTAAATAATATTTAAAGATTCAGTCTTTACCACAAAGAAATGCAACATGTCTCTATTACTTGGAAAATGCTGTGTAAGGAAAGAATTTCTCTTTAGTCTGAAAATGATAGGAAACTCACAAATACACTCTGTGGAGCAAAATGCAGATTTATAACTTATTGAAGCAGGTAGTACGTGTAGTTACCACTGGGTTTTAAGGTGTTAATCAGATAAATAAAGTTTCACACCCATACAAACAAGAAGTGAAGAGGTGGTTTTGTATAATCATGATTTGAGGTAGGAGACAAGAAGTTCTAAACTGCTATGTAGCAAGCACCCCCACCCTTCCGAAAGAAAAGTAAAGCCATCTCATTATGCGCCTGTTCATTCCCCAAATTTAAGTGCCTTATAATTTCATTGTGAATGCCGTTTTAATTTTATGCTGTTCATATCTCTGTGACTGCTTATTTAATATTCAGCTACCATCTTAGGTGTTTGTCTTTTCCATTCATGTCCTGAAGACATGCCATGTTTTGATGGAAAGGGACTGACTTGACCATTATCAGAGTGATGAGCCCTGATGATGGAGGCTCTACAACCCAGTAGACAGCTATCTGGATAACAGAAAGTCTTGTCACCAGAAAACTGAACCTTGATGTGGATACTCCATAATGTTCTGCCAATTTGCCACAAAATCACAGCTATGTGGTTTTGTTAATTTGCACAACTTAATATCACTGCTACTTATGTACAATCTATACCCTTTGTTGCTTAAGATCATGTTTGTCTTATCTGAAGAATTAACAAATTTAAAATTAATTTTCCTAATAATGCCACAAGCTAGAACTGCTGTTTGTAAATAATTGAAACCAAAGAACTTGCCCTGCAACCTATTATATCTTTATATTTGTACAGATGAATGCTGTTATCAGTATGAAGTTGTTAAATCATTATCACACTCCAGAAATTTGCATTTTTTGTGTTGGCTACTTACTGTATTTATTTTCAGGTAACACAGCATTACATTTGGCAGTCATGCTGGGCAGGAAAGGTAATTTTGTGAAAACCTCAAATCTTACATTAATTTTGTAATATTTGGCTTGATCATTTCTGTTCAGTTTCCATTTGTATTGTGTGGTGTGGTATGGGGTCTTTCAAAAAGGTTACTCAGTTTAAATTTTTTTATAGTTTATGAAGAGTACAATAGAATGCAGTCCAAAATAAGGCTCCTCCATAAAGTATTTAGGCTCACATGGACAATCTTGGCAATTAATTAAAATTTGTTTTAATTTTGTAATGTTGAGTACTGGGAAGACCATTGGTGAGGAAATGTGAGAGTAGTCTGCTGCCATTAATATAATTAGCAAACATCTGTGTGTAACTTGCTTTCATTTTTTCTCACCAAAGTTTGTTCATATTCATTTTTACTAATTTTTGTTTGTTTGTAGGAATACAGTTGGAGTAGTCTTTTATCCCATCTGAAGGTTACTTGCTTTACAGTTGATTTCTGTTTGTTGCTGCAATATCAAGTGGCAGTAATCTCTTTTAATTAATTGTAATTCTTTAAGAATTTAAAAATGTAAAGAGTTACACATGGGAGTGCCTTAGAGGAATTGTACTTAATGCGTATCTAAAGTATTAATACAAAGTGAGCCTGCAATGCTACTTGCCATGGGGCACTTGGGAGGAAGAGAAGGTATAGCTGCTATTCATTATTGACCTCAGCACTAGGTGGGGGTGAGTGGTCAGTGTTATGCCCTAACCACACCTTACCAAAAGAAAAATTGCCCTTAGTACTGATTGGATAGGAGGCTGGGTAGGCCTCAGGGCTGGTTTGGACACAGGCTGGAAGAAAAATTCTTTGCTCCTGCTGGGGATTGCACCCCATTTGTCAAGTCCATAGTTAGGCACTGTAATGACTGAACTACTCTGGCCCACCTGAGAGGTTATAGTAATGGAAATAAATTAACACTAACATGGAACTCAATAACATTACTGAATCAATATACATTTTTTCCTTGGAATAACATGATTGTGTATTTATGTTTAATTTTATTGAGTTTATAAGAATTTTCACAGGGAGATAATGAATGCTATTCAAACTTTGATTCATAGCATGTTGTACCATCAAGTGTCATTTCCATACTTATCAAGTATAGCAGGCATTTGCTGACTGCCCAGTTACAGGGTATTAAGCCTGACCAGTAGAATTTTGTTTGTTTCAGCCATTGGTTTAATTATTCTTGAAAGAACCAACTTGGACTTGGGATTTGTGATGTTAATTATACTCTTATAATATTTCTAATTTGTCAGATTTTTATATGTTTAAAACAACTGAATTAAGGTATTATATACAAATTGGTGTATTTAGGGTCTCTTTAAAGTTAATATTTTGATGCTATATAATCCAAGATAATGGCCACGGTGGTCTAGCGGTTAGAGCGCTGGCCTTGTAATCCTGGGATCTCGGGTTCGATTCCCGGCGGTGCCCGAATTTATAACTTGTGTTGGGCAAGGCCGTGGTCTAGGAAACACGGAGTTTTCCTCCGGGGGCTTCCCCGGTTTCTCCGTGGCATCCAATTCACACACAGAAGAAGGCAATGGCAAACCACTTCTGGATCATCTGCCAAGAACGTATATGAACAGGTCCCAGTCCGAGAAAAGGATGGAAGGATCCTGTTCATATGGACCTGTCGTCAGACAGAACACTAATTAATTATAATCCAAGATATTGTTAGCATCAGTAAATAAACTGCAAATGAATAAATAGATATATTATAAACAAATAAATAAGTAAAGTGAATGTGTTTATTCTTTCAGAATGTGTCCACTTGTTACTTGCACATGGAGCACCTGTTAAAGTCAAGAATCTTGCAGGTTGGAGTCCTCTGGCAGAAGCCATTAGTTATGGTGACAGACAGACAAGTAAGTGTGTTGGAGTGGTTTGCCTAGAAGGATTTATAGCAAATGTTTTATTATTTCTATTTTTGTAGTTTATATATCAAAGAAACTGTACTGTGTTGAAAATAAAAAATAATATAATTGTTTGTATAATGTAATATATGATTTTATGTAATATATTACTATATATATAAAACATGGTGTAATATTATATTTGTTAACTTCACAGTTTCATCACTTGTACGCAAACTGAAACAGCAGGCTAGGGAACAAATGGAAGAAAGGAGACCAAACCTTGTTTCAGCTCTCAATCAAATGGGTGACTTTTATATGGAACTCAAATGGGACTTCCAAAGCTGGGGTGAGCATTACTTCAGTCTGAATGTTCCTTGATTACAAGAACAAATACTTGTATATATAAATATTTTGTGTAGTTAATCTCTTCATCATGGGTTTCTAAACTTTATCATTTTACAAACCCTTCTTAAAAGATCAGAATACACAGATTATCATCTAAAATGGTATAGAGTGAAACATGCTTATAAGGAAATCTCAATGGAGCCAGACATTTTTCTATTTATACAGGTTTCTGTTTTGATAGAGGTACTTCTTACTTCTTGCATTAACAGCATAGGAAAGGAAATGATGTGTCCCCCTGAGTGTTAATCTTTATTTAATAACTCGTGTAGAATATATAAGATTGTAGTGTTCAGCAAGGGTAATATATTTTTATAATTTATTGAAAAAGTCTGTTATAGTATGTTTGTAGATATGTCAGTACATTTTAAAACAATGTAATTGTGTTAGATAAATATTGCCTTACTGGTTCTAGACAATATGAAAAGTTAAACTAATCTTATAGAAATAGTAACTTTGTAAATGTAGAATTTTGATGTATTGTTGCAGTACCACTAGTATCAAGGATTCTTCCATCGGATATTTGCAGAATTCACAAACGTGGGTCATCTATTCGTCTTGACACTACACTGGTAGATTTCAATGATATGAGGTGGGAACGTGGAGATATCTCGTTCTTGTTCAATGGAGATCGGAAACCCAACCTTTCCTTAACAGTTTTGGACAATAAGGCTGAACTATATCAGCGTGTACGATATGAGGTAATGCATCACTAATTATCTTAGTGTAATTTCAGAACACCTCCAATGTTTCCTATGACTATCTCTTCTCCTTTATTTGGCACACAGACATTCTAAAATAGGGTACAACTTTTAAAATTGGTAGTCATGTCATCTATACATGCATTAATGTTGGTGTAGAAGAAATAACCCATGTCCTTTCTGATTTGTAAAGCAGCAGGCAATTAAAAATGTGTGCAAAATATCTAAATTACCAAATAAGTACTGTACAATTCTTTATTTGCCTAGAATTCCAGATTTAAGGTACAAGACACACAAAACCAATTATTATCATTTCCACAAGAGCATAAATTCTTTTTTGAGCCAGTCTCAACATGACTGCTGACAGCATTGTGTAAACTGAAGTCCTTGGTTTAGTGCACAGTTTCATTGCAGTAGCTTAGAAAAGAGTGAATGACAGATGTGCGTATCAGATATGGTAACATTTGTGTTCTTCAGGAGACAGAGATGGAAATTGAGGATGAAGTGGATATCTTAATGAGCAGTGATATTATGGCGGCACAAATGTCAACAAAGTCCATAACATTCACAAGGGCACAGACAGGGTGGATATTCAGGGAAGACAGGAAGGTATGGCAAAACTCACTGATTATAATTAAAGTGAAAACTTATTTTTGAAAAGAAGCTGCGAGTTCATTGTGTCTTACTCCTAAATATGAAATTATGTTGTTAAAATAGTGTCAGTTGTAGTTGTCTTGGTTTTGATGCTGTTGCATGGTCTTGTAGGTTGTTTGAATATTTTGGAGGACTGTGTCACCCCTGTCTTTCAGGGTTGAGTGTGGGTATATGTGCCTACATGCACGTGCAATGGGCTTGTGCTTGCAGGTGTTGGGGAGGGTGGATGTTTCTGATTTTGTAAGTTTGTAATCTGTACAAACTTGGGAATATTTCACTAGGTATGATGTGATACATATCATAGCATGAAGCTAAACAGAAATGTAACAAGGTGCGTTAGATAATTTGATGCTGGATGTTAATACAGTTGTAAGACTTGAGGTTCTCACAGCGGTGAGTATGAAGATATCCGTCTTCTGGGTTATTGCGCTGTGTAGTCTGGTCGATGTTAACCAACGTTTCAGAGGTCATACTGCCTCCGTCATCAGGGCGATGAATATGCCAATAGGGTGTGAGGTGCTGGGTTTAATCAGGGAAGCCATCGAGATCGAACTACATCCCAATAACTTTAACAGGGAAGATGGACTTCACCTGAGCCGGTCCTGGAAGTATATGAGAGAGAAAGGTGAGTTAGGTTGTATGGATAAGGGCCCTGAAAAGGGCCGAGTTAGTGGTCTGGTTGGTTCTGGCGGCGCACTCTTGCTCGCTCTCGGAGTGTGTGAATAAGAGGCTTCCAGGACCGGCTCAGGTGAAGTCCATCTTCCCTGTTGATCTCGATGGCTTCCCTGATTAACCGATCCATGTAGCCGGTTTTTGAGGAGAGGATGGAAGTGTCCTCTAGCTGTATATTGTGTTCCAAGTTGAAGCGGTGTTCAGCAACCGCAGATTTCTCGGGCTGCCCGAGCCGGATGTGGCGTTCGTGCTCCTTGATCCTGGCCTCAACGGA